GCCCAAAGGTAAGGCAATGCATGATACTGTTTCCTTAGGCACGACTCTGGGACACTGATACCAGTTCTCAACCCCTCTCCCCACCCCCAGAGCATCCACAACCTCGGGCTCCTTTCTCCTGCCCCTAGCCAGCTTTCCCAGGCCCATGCACAGCGGGAGGGACTGGCCCTGCCTCGTGCCTGCCGCCACCCTTTATTCTTTTTCCCTGCTGCATCTGAGGTTTCTTTCCTCCTCCCTACCCCAGTGCCCAGTTCTGGCCCCTTTCTCAACCCAGGCTGGCCGAACGCTAAGTTTTCCAGATAGAAATGTACGCTACAGATTTCATTGCTGTAGAGGAGGTGTCTTACAGCTCTTCTGTTTACTTTGGTTGGCCTCTTAATTTATTTAAACGTTAGAATACAATTAGCTTCATGATGAATGTGACTTTGTAGCGAAAGGTATTGTTGCTCTCGAATATTCAAAAATGGTGAAAGAAATGAACAAAGTATGTGAATGAATTGTGCCTTTATACACAAAGCATGCCAGTACTTGTGAAAGCTTTTCCTTGTTCGGTGGTGTAAAGTAAGCCTCTGAGTGCTTCACACACCAGGTAGCAGATGGGTAGTGTTGGATGACGGCCCAAAATAGACTCTTCATATCATTTGTGGGGATTTATAACACATTTACAAGTATGTCTCATTTGACCCTGTCTCTACAAAAAATGGTTAAAAATTAGCCAGTTATGGTGGCTTGCACCACAGTTCCAGCTGCAAGAGAATCTCTTGAGCCCAGGTAGTTTGTGCCCTTCAGTAAGTTCTGCTGGCTCCATCTCACCATTGTAACACTCCAGCCTGGGCAACAGAGTGAGACTTTGATTGTTTTAAAAAATTGTTTTTGCCCCAAACAGCTCTTTGTTTTAAGACATTTGAAATATGAGCAGGTGTCGGACCACAGTAACTGACACAGCATCTCTTACTGCTTGAGACTTTCCCTGAAATGTGCTGGTAAGAGCAGCCTAGAGGAAGGTGTTTATATCTGATAAGTAGAGGGAGGAGGGCATATATGTGATTCATCTAAAAGTTGCATCCCTTTATTTAGGTGCAAGTCTGAAAAAGAAGTCCCAGCCCTAGCCTGGTTTTATTCCACATGCATGGAGAGATTCTGTGATTTTTGCATTCTCCAGTAGAATTGGGACATTGGTGCCTTTATTTTCCTGACATTTATTACTAAAAGCTTTTCTCAAGACTGTAAAAGTGATCCAAATGGTTATGTAGCTTTAAAAAGAATCTTTTTACTCACCTCACTTGTGACATTGTTTCCTCTTCTTCCTCTACAGATATTGCTTCTTACCATCCAAGGGCAAGCACACTCTTCCTGAGAAAGTATCAAATGCATGGTGAGACAATATTGTTTCTGCCTTCAAGGAAAACCTAAAACTTTTCTGTCTTGTGTATACAGAAAGTATTTAGAGAAACTCAGATATTAGTTAAAAACGTTCAACTTTTCATAGATTTACTTGTCTTATTTCATATGTGATATAATTTCCTTTAGTTGTCAATGTTTATGGAACATATAGATTTCGTGTTCACACATTTGGTGACATTTTTACCATTTTACCATGATTAATTGGCCACATGATTTAGTGTAGTAGTCACGGAATTTATACCTTTTTCTTCATACGTCTTGCCATTTTTTCCCTTGCTTTAAAGAATATGTTTTAATAATGACTGATAGGATTTGGCCACAGCTTGGATTTCACTTGAGCAAATCAAAAGAATCCATTGTTCTAGATTGGATCTGTGAGTTGGCTCCTTGTTCACAGTGCTCTAACCACTGTCACATCCAAGTCGATGCTAGAACTTTTTCATTGGAATGTAATAGAAATGTAACATGCCCGTGCTGTTTTCTGTATTAGCCTTAGTGTGTGAAACTAGTGTAAAGTTTTCATATCCTGCCTGTTTAGGATGAGAATTAGAACTGTAGGATTTTTCTGTACTGTTGCTTATGTACATAACATTCTGTTGTCTTACTTTATTTTAAAAAAGCCATACACCATGTTTTTCAGTTAATTTGAACAAGAATACAAGAACTGGGGATTCTAGAATAACATCTGAAGTAATGCAGCACCATAAAAAAGGAGTTGTTCACCTGCATTTTCTATTTGTGTGGACTTTGTCTGACTTGAGCTAGTCATTTCTAGTTAGGATTGTTCTATTTCTCAGTTCTTCCAAGAGCCATGGGCTTCTCACACCTAGAGTGCATGGAAGTAGAAGAAAACTGATCCCCTGCCCCTGTCACTTCAGTGGTGAGAAATGTGTGTCAATGAGACCAGTTCAACTTCAAAGGAGGAGGCATTATAGGGAAGAAAGTGTGGCCCAAGTCCCTCTTGGGAGCTTTTATTCTTTGGACCTTGTTAGAACAAAATGATTGTGTGTGCTGAGGATACCCCGTGCAGTTAGATTGGCACCCTCATTTTGATATTTAAGTTTAAGATAGACTACCTTTCAGTTGAGTAAAGACCCATTTACTTTTTCAGTAATGTATGAATAGATGACTGAGAAGTGGTTTGGGATTGCTTCCAGATATTCTAGTGCATCTTGAGATTGACTCCTGGCCAGAAACTGGTTCTGAGAGCTGTCAGTTATTAGATCCTGGTAATGAAAGTAAGCTACGTGTAAATGTAGAATCTGAAAACAAAACACTGCTGCGTAGGGGTTCAGAAATACAATAGTAAACGTTTTTATTAGCTAATTTTCTCATCTGTCCCACATTTTGCCATTTTTATGAAGGAATACTTGAGACAGGATAATTATAAAGAAAAGAGGCTTTATTGGCTCACAGTTCTACAGGCTATACAGGAGGTGTGGTGCTAACATGGGCTTCTGGCAAGGGCCTCAAGAATCTAATGATCATGGTGGAAGGTGAAGAAGTCATCTTTCACATGGTGAGAGAAGGAGCAAGAGAGAGTGGGAGTTGCTGCAGGCTTTTAAATAAGCAGATCAGGCCAGGTGCAGTGGCTCACACTTGCAATCCCAGTATTTTGGGGTGCTGAGATGGGCAGATCACTTGAGCCTGGAGTTTGAGACCACCTTGGGCCAACATAGTGAGACCCTGTCTCTATGAAAATTTAAAAATTAGCCAGATGTGGTGGTGCATGCCTGCAGCCCCAGCTACTTTAGAGGGGAAGGTGGGAAGATCACTTGAGGCCAGGAGGTCAAGGTTGCAGTGAACCATAATCACACCACTGTACTCCAGCCTGAGCATCAGAGTGAGACCATGTCTCAGAACAACAACAGTAACAACAAAACCCCAAGAAGATCATGCATGAACTCAGAGCAGGAAACTCACTCATCACCAAGGGGATGGCACTAAGGCATTCATTAGGGATCTGCCTCCGTGATCCAAAGACTTCCCCACCTCCAACACTGGGGATTACATTTCAACATGAGATTTGGAGGGCACACACTTTGCCTAATTTGTTTTGCCTTTCCTTATGTACATGGAGATGCTTTCATTTGAACATAATAGAATATGTGTTAGGTCAAAAGTAAAACTCGTGTTTTAAAATTTTACATTATGAGATTCATCATGCCTGGATTATTTAAATGTTAAATTTTGTTTTAAATTAAAAATATTTTAAAAATTGATTTTTTAATATAGTGATAATCAGATTTATCTTGTTTTATATAGTGATGATCAGATGATTAGCAACTACTTTTATTCTGTGGTATTTTTCTATACCAGAATTGATTAGTTATATTTTTATTTTTAGTGCAAGGAAAGAGGAGAAGCTCTCGCCTATATTCTGTAAGTAAGCTTTTGAAAAGTTAAGAAATTAATTGTTTAAATTAAAAGTCTATCTGTCATAATTCCTTAGAAATGTACATGGACCCAGTGCTGTTAGTTTGATCCTCTTTTGGTGAATTTTCTAACTGTTTTCTATTTTCCTAAGTGTCTGATTTATGCAGGAAAGTCTTTAACTTACTGTGCCCATTTTAAGGCTGTCTGACATTAAGTTAAATTTAAATAATTTGGTTGTGATATAAAGATCTGCCTTAAATATTTAATCTTTTAAAATCAAATCAAATTGAAAATAGCACGTCCATTTTCTTCAACACTTTCTGCTGACTCCCTGTCACAGCAGCTGAAAGCGCAGCATCCTCACTCCACTGCACCCTTATTTCCCTCCCCGTTTCTTCCACCTATAACACACTTTTAATTAAATCATGAATTGATATTTACATGATTATGACTATGCACATATTATTCACTGCTGATCATATAATGTTCTGAATGTGCCTCTTCCTTGCACATCCTTCATTCTTTCTCTTAATATTTCGAAACCTGAACACTTCTGCACTTCTCCAAGATAACCTCCCCTTTCCTAGCCCATGATGGCTCATAAAACCAAATGTGACCATTAGCCTCCGCCGGTCTCTTTGTTTTCACATCCTTCATTTGTGTGTGTGTGTGTGTGTGTGTGTGTGTGTGTGTGTAATTGATTTTCTGACTATATTCCTTTGGCTCTCTAACAACTATTCTTCCCCAAGAGTTGTAACATTTGTCACATGCCTATCAAAAATATGTTTTATCTACTAAAAAATACATTCCATGTTTTTTTCTTGAAGCAAGTTTCCTTGGCCTTTCATTATCATCCTCAGGATGAACTGTGATTTCCTGGGCTGCCCTGCACCTGTTGGCCTGGGAGCTCTCTCTGAAATCTGGGACGACTAATGTTGGGTCCCTGAGTCCTAGACTGTGCATTGCGCTCTGCTTTGTGTTACTCCCCAGTAATGCTGGAGTGCAGTTTCTGAGGAAAGGCTCATATACACACATGTTTAGAGATCTGGGCTTTCTTAAAATCCCTCATTTGATATAGAGTATAAAATTCTATAGTGAAAACTAAATGTCATGGCTTGAAGACATTTTTCTATTGCATTTTTATTATACTGTTTTTGAAAGTATTGCCATTGTGTGATATGTCATATGTAATCAATGTTTCCATCTGTCAAGTGTTTTGGACCTTCTCTATCCCTGAGATTCTGAAATTGTAACACAAAGCTTGGTAGGGACCTTTTATTTTATTGTGACCATTAAGTCTAAAATAAAATTTAGAGAATTTTTCTGTGTGCTTTGTTTTATTATTATTATTTTAGTCTAATGATTCAGATGTTGGACCTCTTAGACCAGTATTTCTGCATTGATCTGTAACTTCTTTACCTTTGATTTTCCAGTTTATCTTTTGTTCTGTTCTTAGAGATTCTTTGACTGTCCATGCTAACTGTTCTATCAAATTTTTAAAAATCTCCTTAAGGGTGATTTAAGATTTGTAAAAAAGTTTTGCTCCTGAATTTTTACTGCTCCCAGGAATTCCTTTTTCCTGTTGTTTTGATCTCCCATTGGAGGCTTTGCTCAAATGTGTGGTGGTCTTTGGCTTTCTCTCATTGAAAGTAGGACCTTTTTTTCACTGAGGGGTCTCACTGTAGGGATTTGGATGTCGAGGCAGCTTTTCCTTTGAGGGACATCAGTGTATATATGAGGGAATGAGGGTATTTTCTTTGCCATGGTTCAGTTTTCTTCCAAGAAGGGCCTCCCAATTTTCTGCCTGGGCAGTGCAAGCATGGCTGCTGGCTTTCCAGAAACAGGGTTGGGAAGCAAGGTGGAGTTTCACTTTGTGTGTGCCATTTACTCCCATTTCCCAGGTTTCAGTCCTGGTAGGTCGGAGCACAGAAACCTTCAGGTATAATATATCCAGAGAATACACATCCACATTTCTTATAAGATGGGAGGACAAGGGACCTGGCATTCTAACCACAGGTTTACTATTGACCTTGTTGGCTCTGTTGTATGTTTCATCTTACCTTCCCTGGTACCATGTGCTCTGATTTTGCAGACTGTGTCGGGTCCTTCAAAATACACAGGATTGCTTGTTTCTGTTCAGGTCACTCCCTGTGGGCACCAGGGTTGTGCTTTCATGTCAGTTACCACTCCTCTATCTGCTTGTCACCTTGCAACATTGACTCAGAATCTGCTGTCAATCCTGTCTCCTGGTCCTGTGTATAGTGTTTATTTTATGACTAATTCTCATGAGATTTCAGAAGGAAGAGAAAATAAATTTGTGGTCAATCCATCATATTTTGTGGTCTATTCATCATATTTAACCCAAATTTAGAACCTATATGTAAGTGTAAATCTAAGTTTAAATTGAACATAATTATGACATTAATTCAGACAATTTTCTAGTTATACCTATAATAAGCATATTACACTTTTCCACTCAGGCCTTGTGTAATAATTCTATTCAAACTCCATACCTGCCATGTGGTCCCATTGCTATGCAACATAGATGAAGCTGATTTTGTTAGCACACAAAGTATTGGAAATTTTCAAGTTAGTTAAAGTCATTAATTATTTTTAAAACATTTAAAACATGTCTTATAAAAAAGTGGGGAGAAAAAAGTGATCTTGAAGGCCGGGTGTGGTGGCTCATGCCTGTAATCCCAGCACTTGGGGAGGCTGAGGCAGGTGGATCTCTTGAGGCCAGGAGTTCGAGACCAGCCTGGCCAACATGGTGAAACCTCGTCTCTACTAAAAATACAAAAACTAGCCAGGCATGGTGGCACACTCCTGTAGTCCCAGCTACATGGGAGGCTGAGCCAGGAGACTTGCTTGAACTTGGAGGTGGAGGTCACAGTGAGTGATAGGAAATTTTAAATTAAAAAAAATGACAGATATCACCTAAAGCTATACCAACTAGTCTGTTTTTTGGTGCATTTTTCCTGTTATTTTTATTCTCATATATGGAATTTTCCTCAGAGTTGACTTTTGTTATGTTAAAGTATTATGCTGCATTATCCCTAATAGTAGTGACCTTAAGGGATACCTTCTTTCCCGTTGAATAAAAGTGTCTGAATGAGTCCATTTTTATTTTTTATGCCATATTTGTTTTTGAGACAATTAAAGTATATACGTTGACACACATACATTGTTAATGTAAATTAACAGAATAGCTTAAGAAACATTAAGAGTTTTTAGCTAGAGTTAAAACATTTCTATCTTAAAGGGTAATTTGGTCCTTCAAATAGTAATATTGTTCAAAAACATCTTGGATTTTGATTAAGAAATAAGTGAATTTGCAGTAAAAACCATCTGAAGCAGCAAAATGCTGTTGGACTCTATGGATATTTCTGATTATTGGCTACTGGCAATGTTTAAATGCAGTGTAGTTTTATAAACAACCACTAGATCTTCTCCCTACCCTGCCTTTTGTTTCATACTAGCTCATTAGTAGTAGATCCAAACCTGTTCTGTCTTTAATGTGTTTGTGAGGGACCCTGATAGAAGAGTGTGATAACATGATGCAAACAAGCATATTAAGAGGAGGAAGGAAGGCTCATCCGAGTTAGTTTTTTTTTTTTTCCCAGTTAACATAATGGGTATTTTGTGGTTTTAAACAATGCTGTTGATCTTTTCAACTATTTGGTGACTGGCATTTGGCTACTGGGATTATTTTTAAGGACGAGCACTTTCTCTCTCTCTCTCGCTCTCTCTCTCTCTCTCTCTCTCTCTCTCTCTCTCTCTCTCTCTGTCTCTCTCTCTCTCTCTCTCTCTTTCTTTTTTTAAAATTTGAGATGGAGTCCTGCTCTGTCACCCAGGCTGGAGTGCAGTGGCACAGTCTCAGCTCACTGCAACCTCTGCCTCCGGGATTCAAGCAATTCTCTGCATTAGCCTCCTGAATAGCTGGGATTACAGCAACCCAACGCCACGACTAATTTTTGTATTTTTAGTAGAGATGGGGTTTCATCATCTTGTCCAGGCTGGTCTTGAACTCCTGACCATATGATCCACTCACCTCAGCCTCCCAAAGTGCTGGGATTACAGGAATAAACCACCTCACCTGGCAAGGAGGAACATTTACTTAACATAGTTGAGGCAGCTTCCCTATTGACTATTGCACTCTCAACAAATGAATAGATACTTTGAAAGTGTTTTAGAGATAGTTTCTTTTCTACAGGGCTCAAAGCATTCACTGTCATATCTCTGATAGCACTGTGGATGAATTTTCACTGATTTGTATCTGCAGGAAGATTTACTTTCCAAATTGTAACTGATTTAAATATTTGTCAAGCTCTTATTGAACTCCTTAATTTCTCCCACATTCTGTGCTCAGCAGCTGCAGGTAGAAGAGAAGGGGTCCTCCCTCACCTGGAGAGGCTCACTTTCTCATGAGGGGGATGCTCTGCAGGCAATTGTATCATGTAACACACGGTGAATTAGACTGATGAGTCACAAAACCAGAAATGTTCTGTGGTGTGGCTGCAGGCAAAGGGAGCCCAGAAGGTGGATGAGGTCAAGCTTGCTGGGACAAGGGGGAAAGGAATAAATATTCCAGACAGACAGCAGCATGAGTGAGGCAGGAATGTGCCATAATGTGCATCAAATAACTTAAAGAATGAAATCAATTAACTTTTGAAATGAACGCAGAGTATTCTCAGAAGTTCTCATTTGAGTAGTGTAATAGCAGTCTTATGGAAACATGAAGCGAAAGTTAAATTCCCAAAGTTGTTTTCATCATCTGATTTTTGGATGTGAGAGAGTCTTAAAGCAGTACTTTTTCCATCCTCCCACAAGGAAACAGGCCCAGGGAGACCTATGGCCCTTCACTTGTTTGGTGACTGAGCAGCTCTGGTGCACACAGCCTCTGACTCTAACACACTGGTTCCATCACACTCTCTCTTGAATGCACACACTTAGGATTAGTAACTTAGTAAATGTTGTATTAGGTCTTCATTTACTGCATTCAAATGCTCTTGTGTCAATATTGTTTAATGTATGACATTTTGTTTCAGTTAATGAATAACGGAAATAGAAAATCTCAGTGCTTTTTACTGCATAAGAAAAAAGCATGAAATCCCATTTTAAATGTTTCCCATTATTTATAAAGGGAATTTACAATAGAGGCTTGCCAGGTTTGATGATCGGTGTCATATCCAGGGCAGCATTTTGTAACCCATTTCTCAAACATCATCTGTGAAAGTTAAGAGCCTCCAATGAGTTTCCCATAGAGCTGCACATGATACCACACTCAGGCAGGTCACGGGGTATAAAAAATACCTTAATGCTTTATTGTTTGACATTTTGACAAAGGGAAAACCCACACTTTTGTAAGTTCAGCCTACTGTGATATTTTTCTCTATCTTCCTTCTTCTTCAGATACCTCGATGGCATCTTGGTAGAAAATACAGCTCGTGTTCCACCATATTGCTAGGTAACAGCACAGTCAGTGAGCCTGATCTCAGCCACATATTAGAAAGGTGAGTACAATGAGGCTGCCAAGGGCTGAGTGACAGACCCCCATATGCTAAAAGCATCCCGGCCATCTGCTGTTATTTCAGCTATTTGGTTGCCCCTTTCAGCAAGCAGTTGAAGAAGTTGATGTCAACGGTATATGGATTTTTCAGGACCTAAGTATGAATTTTCTGTTTCTTTTTTAATCTTAGACACTGTGTGGTAAAAGGGAAAGCCAGTTCGCAAATAAGCAATCCCAGAAAAAGCATGGCTATTTATTGGATGCATTTATGTTATGACAGTATTGAACCTAATAGACAGGAGAGGTGCTTTTTATCAGACGGTTCTAGGAAAAATTATTAGTTCTTTATAGGCCATAGGCCTAAGATGATGGGCACTACTTTGGAAACTACTCTTGTAAGAAGGAACACCTTGTCCTCCAGCAGCACCATAGTGTATCTGCATTTAAATTTTTCCATCGTGCACAAGCACTTCATAGGTCACAATCAGAGATGCCCTTTCAAAACACCCTTGAAAGATGGGTTCAAGTTGGTTTAAAAGGCCAGCTCCAATGGAGATGCCCAGGAAACATTATTAACATCTCCTTCCATTGAGTGTTGATTTTCAGAAAACAGTTTGGCAAGTGGTACCTCAGAATGTTAATCTCCTTATCCCTAACTTGACTTTCTGGTCTATAAACATGACTAAATTACAAGCTTAATTTTGTCTCTAATGTACTTGTTTTTAAGCTAATTTGTCAGTAACTTCTACTTTAATCAAAAATGACAGTTTATACTCATAATAATGTGACTTTCCTCTCTCATGTATAACAATAGTTGAGATCCAATTGTGTTTCAGCAAGAACTGGGCTCCACCTGTGTCTAAAGCCCTGCGCTTTGACCTCTGTGCTGTCATCACTCAATGTTTGTATTCAGTCCTAAGTAAAAAGCCACCCTTTTTCGGCTAGAGTCCCTGGCTGCTTCTGATTTCAAAAGATTCCAATGTTTCAGTATGCAATTCAAAAGTAGTTTTTAAGCTTACCCTTGCTAAAACAAGTAAAAGTCCTGCTTTTTCTACTAGCGTAGTCTAAATTTTACAAGGTTTTTAAAAAATTGAAATATATATATTTTGTTTTTTGGAGAAGGGGCTTTGCTGTTTTGGCCAGGCTGGATTCAAACTCCTGGGCTCAAGCAATACACCCAAGTCAGCCTCGCAAAATGCGGTGATTACCGGCATAAGCTACCATGCCTGGGCTACAAGTCTATTTTTGAAGCACAGTAAGTTTTAATGTACTCTCCAGTTTTAGAAGAGATTATTTGGTATATTTGCTTTTGATGAAATAAAGGTTTACTGAGCAAGTTAATATAGCAAATTGGCTTTTGGAAAAGATTTTGAAAAATGTATTTCATAGATAGTAGAGCATTGTTCTCAATGGAAGAAGTGAGCCATGTTAGAATCAATTACACTGTTTCTTCAAAATATACGTCTGCAAACACATGCATTTTCCCAGCTCCACCTTCCCTCCGTCTCTGGGCACTCACAAACCTTTTAGGAAAATGGGGAAGTATGTGAGACATCATTATATGGATAAAAGCATCCCAGATGATTCTGATCTTAGCCCTAATTCAGTCATTCCCAAACTTTGCTGCACATTGGAATCACCTGGGGAACTTTACCAACAACCCTGATGCCTAAAGCTTACCCAACGCCTATTAAATCAGAAAGTCTCCAGCTGACACTGAGGCCCTGTTTAAAGCTCCCTGGGTGATCCAGTGTGCAGCAAATGCAGAGGCGGAGGCTACTGCTCCCTTTGTGTGAAAAAGTGATGGTTCTAATATAAAAATTACATGTTTTCCCTGTCATTTGCTCTTCTTTTTACCCATAAAGCCTTTCATCTGTGCGAGTCATTTCTATCTATGTGTGCATATGCTTCAATTTATACCATACCAAAATGTTTTGTAAACACCTGCAGTGCACAGGAACACTGTTCGGGGACCTTGGGCAAATCAGTTTTAAGCCTTGGTTCTCTTAATTGTAAAATGGGTGGTGCATGGATTGTCACGTGAGGTTCCGTGGTCCTTTTCAGCATGTAACTTCCAATTCTGTGATCTTAAAATGTGGAGATGAAACTGTTGGAAGCACTATAGAAATATCTATCTTAGATGCTAAAAATGTTGTAAGGCCTACTTTTTACAACTCCAATTTGCCTTCTCAATTATTACAAGCCACATTTTAAATGTTGAGGGTGAATAGAAGGCCAGAACTTATCAAAGAGAAGCCCCAGTTTCCTGACACACAACATCTGTGGATGACTGGAACACAGTAACATCCATCCGAAGAGTTGTATTTGTTCATTCATACTTTGTTTAAACTAATGAGGAAGTACCTGCCATAAATGTATGATGTGGTGTTACACTCTGTGTTTAGTACTGCTTATTTTAGGAGCACTACAAGTGTCATCGATTTTTGGATGCATTATAATGTTTACTAATAAATTTTCTGCTAATCATGCATAGGTGATTTTAAATTACTTTATTTGGTATAAAGCACATTCATTCTCTGCTTTTAGGGAAACAATGACAAATGGGTGAGTAGGTGATGGTGAACTAAATCAGCCAAAATGCGGGGCCAGCAACTTAAAAAGCAAAACACTACTGTCTGGCCTAAATGTAAGCATATGTACACATAGATATAAGTAACTTGCCCAGAATGAAAGGTTCTATGGGCAGAAGAGCAAATGACAGGGAAAATATGTCATTATTTATACATAATAACCATCTGCACACACAAGTCTTCTAACAGCATATTGCCTAGCATTTTAGTTCTCCTATTTTTGCTGTAAGGCCAGAGGACTAAAACAAAAGGAAAGTGTTCATATGGTACTGTTGTGAAGAGAGGATTTCAGGGCCACTGAGAGGGTTCCCTCCTCCCCCTTTAGAAATATATCTTCAGGCCTAACAAATGATAACATCAGTTCTTACAATTTTTTTTCCCTCCACAGTGTGACTTTGGCAATATATTACAACATAAAGCACAGGTAAGCTCCTTGAAACCTATCTTGTTATTCCAGCTCATCACTTTGTGTCATATGAAACACGCTGTCAGGTCATAACTCTGTATATTATAAGCTGTAGAGTGCTTATTTTGCAGTGTTACAGTGAATCATTTGTGGGTTATTTGGTCCATAAGACTCTTTTAAATTATTAAGCGTTCCAAAGTGTATTTGTTTATGTCTTTGTTTGCAATTTACTTGTAAAGAAGCAGTTAAAAGATGCTCTAGCCTCACGCAAATATATAGTAGGAAAGAGACATATTTTTGAAGCTTTCAGGTAACTGTGGGTATTCCTTAACCCCACCAAAACTCCAGAAGTGCTAACTGATTAAAATAGTTATAGCGGGATTGTACATATCAATGAATTCGTTCACTAATAGTCACTGATCTTTCTTGTACAATAAATGGATCTTTCCCCTTACTGGCTTTTACAATGTTATGCATTGGCTACTTGGTCTATTTATAGTGTCAAAAACTCACTTTCATTAGTATCACCACCATTATAAAAATGTCTTCAGATATGGAGATGCTGTCAAGCTCACAGTAGTAGGTATGAGTTTTCAAAGTCCTGATTTTTACCTTGAAAGTTTTAGCTTTATTATAGACAAATATTTGTTATTTTCCCTGCAATGGCAGACTCTCTTGACTTAATTTTATAGATAATAGTCAGTTATACTTTCAGATAAAAATGGTGTTCTGTGAAAAATTGGCTTGCTCAGCTCACAATTAAATCACAACTGCTTTTCTTTAACATGACCATACTTCAGTATACAGAAGTGCTTTATGTGAACTTTCTACTTAGAATGCTAAAAAGAATACTAAAATACATTAATTTTTACTGTTTCATCAAGGACATTCTTCAGTGAAACAGGCTACTTCAATAAAAAAAAACTGCAAGGGGCAGTGAAGAGTGGAATGAATACTGGTATAATTTGGTACCACTGCCCTTATTGATACTGAGAAACCATCAGTTTTACCCACTTTTGCTTTTAAACAGTCATTACAAGTGTTGAACAGGAAGGAAGCAGTCAATGTCTTAATACTTTAAAAAAGTAATAAATTGTGTGTTTTATTTTCAATCAGCTTCTCAGGTTGAATTAGTATTCTTGTGAGAACAGTTTGGGCCATACATGGTGGTTGACACCTGTAATCCCAGCACTTTGGGAGGCCAAAATGGGAGAATTACTTTGAATCAGGTGTTTGAGACCAGCCTGGGCAATGTGGCAAGACCCCATCTATCAGAAAAAAAAGATCAGCTGGGCATGGTAGTGTGGACATTTTGTCCCAGCTACTTAGGAGGCTGAGGCAGGAGGATTGCTTGAGCCCATGGAGTCAAGCCTGCAGTGAGTCAGGTTGGTACCACTGTGCTCCATCCTGGGTGAAAGAGCAAAACCCTATAACAACAACAACAACAACAACAACCAGTTTTGACATCATGGGTCTCCTAGAGAATCTCAGGGGTCCACAAACCACGTTGGTAGCACCACTGGTTTCCTTAATGATCACATAATGTGTTAGTTTTTAAAGTTCATTAAAGACTGGCCTCTTTTAAAATAAAAAGGCAATTAAGTCTGTAACTCAAACTACTTCAGCAAACATAAAGTATAATAAAGATTTGGGAAGTCTTAATTGATTTTAAAAAGTTCTATAATCTTTATTGCCAACAACTACTGCTTTCTAAAATGTTCTTGTGTTCCACCATGAGGTTAGAGCAGTAAAAATAGATACAGTTTATTCCCATTGCCTATTAGCGGGGGTCAGTATTTAAAGGCAAGGCTGGCTCATCAATGTAGAAAAGACTTCCCAGTTCAGAACGTGATGTGCTGATGAAAAAGAGGTCAAGAAACCCTCTGAAGGCCAGGATCCAGGAGAAAAATTGGCAACAACAGTTTTGGTGAACAAATTTTACCAAAGCAAACAAGAAATATCTCCCTCCACCCTCCATGCCCTACTCCCAGCAGATACTTTACTAAGATATTAACAGTTCCTGAATTAATTTCTTAAATTCACATTCTTCTTTTACAGATATGCAAATAGATCTCTGGCTATTTTCGATGAGTCAATACATCCACTTTCAGTAAGTGTCACTTTTTCTGAGGTTCTGTTTATGTCTTATAGAGTTGTGTTTATTTCTTGATGAAGTCAAAATCATCCACCATTAAGTCTTCACTAAGTTGTATCCAATCATCTTATGTAAGGAGTGTTGTAAATTGGACACACTGGAGTAAGAGCTGACTTATAGCTTTGTTTAATTTGTGCACTTAGGGGAATAAACATACCATCCAAATAACAAAATGTGTCATTTTAAAAGATAATTTTTTATAGCAGCAAACAATATAAATAGTTGTAAGTAGTCCTAACAAATATGCACAAATTCTGTGAATAGTATTAGAAAACAATTTAAATTTAAATTTGTTTAAATGCTATAAAAACTTAAAAACTTCCTTCTTCAGGTATGTGATAGCCACAGGGCCACCTTAGCACCTATGTTTACAGAAAACCAAAAATATTTTAAGATCCTACTGTTTATATTTTTAGAACTAAAAGACATTTTATCCCAGCAAAATTATTGTAAGGGACACGTGGGCACAAATTTGAACTTAAGAGTACTTAAGAAGTTTTCTTGAATGAATATTTAGATTGCCTTTTTTCTTCTTTCAGCAAGAAGAGATTCCAGGGAAATCCTTTGAGGACGATCCCACACACAAATGCATTTTCAGTTATTTCTGTAATATTTTTGCAGTCGCAGAACTAACAGCTCCATGTGCGATCGTAGCATTGGTAAGCTATTTCTTATCTATAAAGCAGCTTTAATAACTGGTCTCCTACACAGCGTATGGCCGTGTTTCTAAATAAAAGTCAGTTCCTAAAGTTATTATCAGATCTTTTAAGAGAAACCTATGTAAGCAAAGTAAATACACATATTAGAGTTTAATCATCGTCATGTTTTAAAATGATGCCATTGCTTTTCTTATCACAGAATAATTGCTACTAAAAGCAGTGGGAGAGACTTCTGGTTTCTCCCTCAACAGATTCCCATGTAGGTCTAAGCTGAGTTCCAGGCTGTATTTCCCCAAGTTCTGACCTGGAGCTGCTGCTCTGAATGCTTTGTTGTTCCTGGTGACCTCTTGTGCCTGCTCAGGAAATTGCCCAGGAATGTGGAACCAGTAAGACTTGGACATGGGCTTTGCTAGTTAGCCTGCCAAGCCATAGCTGTGTCCTCACCTCTACATGGTTCTCACAGAATTCCTGTGGTGAGACTCATTCTGAATATAAAGTCCTGTTCAGATGGCTGGGATCGTTTGAGCCCTCCCCACACTAACCTGTAGAGGAATGTCAACCACACGGCCTGGAGAGAAAGGATACTTAGAGCAGTACCCTCTCCTTTAGCATCTGGCTAGAACTTAGGGGTGAAGGCTTCTGCTGGGCACCTGCATAGAAACCTCTCTGTGAGCACTGGATCAGATGCAGGCCATTTCATGGAGCTGCAGCCATTGGGAATGCTCAGCACATGCTGGAGGGAAGCAGGAGTGGTACTTCCAGATGGAGAGAGAGCGAGCTGATGCAGGAGGGAAAGCTGGATTGGAAGAAGGGGGAGTTCACTGTATACAGGCTAAATTTGGTGTGCCTGTGAGAAAGCAGAATGATGTGTGCAGTCATTATTTGAATCTACGGAACTGGAGCATGAATCTGAGCAGTGTAGTCATCATTTGGATCTATGGGACTGGAGCATGAATCTGAGCTAGAGGTAAGGAATGAAGAGTAAGAGTAGCTGCTCAAGGCGAGGCATGATGGATCATGCCTGTAATCCCAGCTCTTTGGGAGACCAAGTCAGGTGGATCACCTGAGGTCAGGAGTTAGAGATCAGCCTGGCCAACATGGTGAAACCCTGTCTCTTCTAAAAAATACAAAAAATTACCTGGGCATGGTGGTGAACACCTGTAATCCCAGCTACTTGGGAGGCTGAGGCAGGAGAATCTTTGGAACCTGGGAGGCAGAGGTTGCAGTGAGCCAAGATTGCACCACTGCCCTCCAGCCTGCACAACAACAGCAAAACTCTGGAAAAAAAAAGAAAAAAAGAGTAGCTGCTCAAATGCAAAGAAGGTGTTTAGAATAAAAGTGGACAAGCCGGACATGGTGGGACACACCTATAGTCACAGCTACTCAGGAAAAGGAAAAAAAGAGAAGATGGACAAAAGATGGCTCTGTAAAGACTACCAGCATGTGAGGGACAAACCCCCAGTAAAGTGCCAGAGTGGGAGGAGGAAGAGCAGAAAAAAATAAGAACAAAGTGTTCACAATAGGAAAGGCTGTGGTCACAGTGCTACATGCTGCCAAGAAGGTGCTCATTCCATAAACACCCCTGGGATGCCAACCCTGTGCCACTCTTCTAAGTGCTGGGGCAGAGAAGAGGACAGGTCGAGCACAGTCCTTGTCTTTATGAGACATTTGCTTTAATGAGGAAAGCATTTCTTTTTTTAGGTAACGGCAAATAGCAAAATGATAAAGCAGGATACAGAGAGAGTGATGGGAGGGGCTCGCTGTTTCTGATAGAATGATCAGGAAGAGCCTCTCTAGAGAGGTCACATCTGAGCAGTGACCTGACTATAAAGTGAGGATGATAAGGAGAGCTGGCATACAGGCAGTGTGATGGGTGCCAAGACTGAGACAAGAACACATTTCATGTGTGTTCAAGGAACAGAGAGCAAAGAGCCCACCTGTGAGAGAAATGAAGGAAAGAATGGAAAAGATGAGGTCGCACAGGCAGTGCCATAACTCACAGAGCCCTTTGGCTTGCAGACCAGGGGACGAAGTTAAGGTTTTATTCCAGTTTGAAGCGGGGACTAATGGTAGATCTTGAGCAGGAGAGTGAAGTGTCCTTAATTTAGAGGTTATCACAACTGTTTTGGGGAGAGTAGACCATAGTTGGGAGGAGGGTTAGGGCAGAGAAGAGGACTAAGAAGCAACTAGGCTGTTACAGGTGAGCCATGACATGTGGTGGCCCAGAATCTGAAGCAGGCAGCCTACCAGTGAAGTTAGCCATAGAGGGATTGCACATGGATTGGAGGAGGGTAAACTCACAAGATTAGGGCCAGGTTGGGGAGTGGAGCCTTGGGGTGAAGGGCTCTGGTTTGTGGGTGTGAAGGCTCCAGGGACCTCGGCAAGAGAAGTCTCAGGTGAGTGATGGGGGTGGGGGGTGGATAAGGAGAGATGGGAGGTGAGGAGCTGAAACCAGGGCATGACACTGTGAGCAAATGAGAGGATGTCCTGGAGGAGCTGTGGGGAGCAGGATGGGAACAGGCAACACATTCCTATCTACCTGCCAGCCAAGTGTGATGCTGCACACAGATGGCACAGTAGTGTTTCCTGAACAATCTTAATCTGCACGAGGCCTGTGTTTGTGCTGCCTTTCATGAGTGTGAAGGTGCTGAAGGTGCCTTTCTTCATGCTCACATCCCTGTGAATGAAATTGGCATGGAAAGTTCTGTGGGCAGAGTATGCTGCAGAGGTATCTGACTATGACTGTGACTTGCCCTCTCGCTTTATCTGAGCAAAGTCTCTGCAGAACGTAAGAATAAAAGGCACTTATTTTCTGGCCAAAACCAGAAGTCTTTCATTCTGAAATGTTCTTATCACCACACTGAAACAGAACTGAAATCAAAGACAAGTGCTCTATTTTGCAGGTGTACATTGAACGCCTTTTAACTAAAGCTAACATCGATCTTTGTCCTACTAATTGGAAAAAAATTGTCCTCGGAGCCATGCTTCTGGCCTCCAAGGTTTGGAGAGATCGTGGTCTGTGGAGTGTGGATGACAGCCAGAATCCCAAGGATGTTGCAGTTGAGACAATGTGAGTTTCTAAGGTTTGGGCAAACTTTGTCATCATTTTCCATGCCTCATTTGCTCTCCAAGTTATCACTGCAAGAAATATCTTTATAGGTTTCATTGTGCAGATAAAGGAAATAGGCATAAGACCACAGACTTCAATCTATCCAGCCTTAGTATAACAGTTTATATTTTCCAGCAATAATGGGTAAGTCTTGATGTGTTATTGTTGTAACAACTGGCTGATAAACTAGAAAATGTTTTTCTGATTTTTTTTTTGGCAAACCTCTTACAAGTGTGCTGTCAGAATGACACAGTATAGTAAATATCTTTATAGCTTTTTAGAAGCCACCTGCCAGTTTCAGTCCCCTTTTAAGGGGCAAACATCTAGCCTTCGAAATAATTGGCCACTGTTAAGGTCTTAAGGTCTCTGGACTATGCAGAAGTTACAGCTTTAACCTAAGCCACCCATTGTGTATTTGCTTTTGCTGGTCCTTGTCTACCCCCTTTAATCTGAAGATCTGTTTTTATAGGAACCTTGAGGTATGATGTTCTGTGCCCTGGCTCCTCCCCATTGGGAACATTGCATGTGTTTGAAAATCGGTTAGAAGCTTCCACATTCACCTCCCACAGTGTGAGAAGCATTTCTGGGGCATCACCCCATGCCCACCACACTCACAGGCTCCCTGGGTACTCAGACATTCACAGAAGCAGGCTGGGGGCCAGTAGTTGTTTATGAGAGTTGGGGGGAGCCTTGCGGGGTCATGGGGTTCCTCCCGGATGCACCAACATGACACTGAAACACAGCTTCCCCAGGGTTCCCTTCTAATTTGGCTTTGTGACTGCTGTGAAGTGAAGGGACCTGAAGCAGGCAGGCAGGGTGAGCAAGGGGGCATTTCCAGCAGAGCCGCCCTGGGTGCCTGCTGGAAAGTGAGGACAGCTGTGTCAGCTGCATCTGGTGCAAGACAAGGGAGCAGCTCTTGTTTACATTGAGCAGCAGCAGAAAAGATGATGCCAGGCAGTGGGACAAGTTAGTTTTGTGATCTTTGCCCATGACTCCAGATAGGACTGTTATTCAGAATCACCTCAGTGTTTGTCTACAAATGAAGATGTAGTGTATATTGTAGATATGCTGCAATGTGTACATATCTACATTCAAAAATAACTACTTGGCGTCTGAGCTCAGTGACTCATGCCTGTAATCCCAGCCCTTCAGGAGGCCGAGGTGAGTGGATCGCTTGAGCACAGGAGTTCAGACCTGCTGGATAACACAGTGAACCCTGTCCATACAAAAATTTTTTTAAAAAATTAGCCAAGTGTGTTGGCAGGGGCCTGTAGTAGTCCCAGCTACTTGGGAGTCTGATGTGGGAGAATTGCCTGGGCCTGGTAAGATTAGGCTGTAGTGAGCTGTGATCACGTGACTGCACTCCAGTCCTGGGTGATGGAGCCAGATTCTCTCTCAGAAACAAATAAAAAAAACATTTTTTGCCACCACTTTGCTAAGAGTATAAACCAAGTGATCATTGCAATATTTGTGGTAGCCATTTTAGCAAAGAGTGTGACAGCAAATGAATTTGAAACAAATGGAAGTATTTTGAAAGTTGCAAATGCTAAAGTGACTTTAATCATAGTCATCCATTTGCAAACTGGTCCCTCAAAGGAAGCAAGATTTGTGACTGCCTGACTTCTCCTTGCCTGCTGCCTAGCCAGAGCTGATTTATCAATACAGGATAATTGCAATAGAAAAAGAGTTGAATTCATGCAGAGACAGCTGTACGGGAGACCAGAGTTTTACTATTACTCAAATTAGTCTCTCTGAAAACTCTGGGATGGTTTTTAAAAAGAATAATTTGGTGGGTATGGGGTCAGAAAGTGGGGAGTACTGATTGGTCAGGTCAGCGATGAAATCATAGGGAGTTGAAGCTGTCCTCCTGCATTGAGTTGGCTCCTGGGTGGGGGCCACAAAACCAGATGAGCCACGTTTATTTGTTGGGGTGGTGCCACCTGATCCCAGTACAAGGTCTGCAAAATATCTCAAGCACTGATTTTAGGTTTTACAATAGTGATGTCATTCCCAGGAGCAATATGGGGAGGTTCAGATTCTTGCAGCCTTCAGCCTCATGACTCCTAAGCCACAATTTCTAATCTTGTGGCTAATTTATTAGTTCTGGAAAGGTCATCTATCTAGTCCCCAGGTGGGAAAGGGGTTTGTTTTGGGAAAGGGTCATTACCATCTTTATTTTAAAGTCAAACTACAAACTAAGTTCCTTCCAAAGTTACTTCGGCCTCCGCATAGAAATGAACAAGGACAGCTTGGAGGTTAGAAGTGAGATGAAGTCAGATCAGCCCTCTTTCACTGTCATAATTTTCTTAGTTACAATTTTTGCAAAGGTGGTTTCAAATTTGTAATCATGAACACTTAGTTCTGCCATTTTGGCAGCTGAATTGTTCTCAAAACCTGCAGCTAAGCTGGCTGGGGCTCTGATTTCTAGTTACAAGATCAGAGAGCATGTGGGGATATGTGCAGCTTTCCACAGAAGTGAGCTTCAGGAGCAGTGGAGGCAGAGGCCAGCCCCAAGAAGACCGGCTCCAAACAGAGCTGTGTGTGTGTGAACGGAGAAACACCAGGAGCTATGCTCCGAACAGGCTGCTTCTGTGTATGATCCTGGGAAGCTGGAAGGCATTACATCCAAGCATTTAATAGACATGTGTCTCACCCCCCTGCTGTTGACTGTTTGCAGTGACCCCATTTTGAGTGTCAGTTTAACAGATAAAAACTGCTGTCCATCAGATTTTTCTTAAAACTTTCCAACATCTCTGTGTGTCCCTAGAATATATTTTCTTTCTAGAGAGTAAAACTGAGTAGCCACTATTCAGAAATGCTGTGTCATAAAGGGTATGCTATTCAATCATCTAGCCTTTTCAAAAACCAGAAATCCTAGAAGATGCATAGTCTGTACACAGAATTCTTCTCTTCAGTGATTAAACCTCTATTAATAGATATGTTAATTTCATAAAGTGCCATTAATTCCTGTAGTAAGTCAGGTCCTGATTAGCTGTCTATTCAAATATTGTTTGATTTACATTTCTATAGACTTATGGATATGTGAACAGGAAATTAATTTTGGAAGTAGGTTCAGTTGAGTTTTTTTTTTTTTTAATTTTTTATTGGATTTTAGGTTTTGGGGTACATGAGCAGAGCATGCAAGACAGTTGCATAGGAACACACATGGCAGTGTGCTTTTCTTTCCTTCTCCCCTTCACCCACATTTGGTATTTCTCCCCAGGCTATCCCTCCCCACCTCCCCCTCCCACTGGCCCTCCCCTTTTCCCCCCAATAGACCCCAGTGTTTAGTACTCCCCTTTCTGTGTCCATGTGTTCTCAGTTGAGTTTTAAGTTCAGCAAATGAGATCCTCACATCTTGGCTTGTGGTCTAACTGTCCTCCACTTTCAAGCCAGTGGGTAAAATGTTAAAATTTTCAAACCAAGAAACCAAATGTATTGTTCAGATATTGATCATTTTTAAGCAATTAACTTCTTACAGGGGTTATTCTGAAAGCAGCCAGAATGACTCTAACTGTGTACCTATTAATTTAGCCTTGGTGAGGGCAGCTGGATGACCATGAGGCAGAGGACGGCTCCCAGTCCTTTCCTCTCCCATTGCATCCAACAGCCCCACATTCTATTCTGCCCAGTGGTGACAGATACTGAGTTCTTCAGGGTTGCATTCCCAACCCAAGAGCAACACTGCATGTGTTAAGGCCAGAGCCCTACTATAAATCACATTATAAAATGAGTTTAGTCTAGCCAAAATGTCTCTCCTTGACTTTTCTGCCTTTCAAATTGTAAATGTTATTCTTCCCCAGTCTCTTCATAATATTAAGGTGAGCAGAAACTTGCATTATGCCTCCTTGACATAGCCTTGTGTGCTGGAGCAGAGGGAGGGGAATTCTTTTTGCCATGGAATGTATCTTGCTTATGTATTTATTTGGGATGAATCCTCCTTAGAGCTTTTCCTCCTCCGAGGTAATAGGGTGGGTCTCCATGGGTCCATTTGTTGCCATGGTGATGTGCCCCATCTTCCCGTTGGTGCTTCCCTACTTCAGTAAGTCCCTTCCTGTTATCATCCTGGTAAACACGCCTGGAGCTTCTTCAGAACTACTAAATGGTACCCATCATTCCTGTCATCTGATTGTGATTGCGGGGTTTGTGAGTGCGTGTGGAGTCTGAGTTGTGCAGCTGCCCTAAGGAAACTGTGAAGAATAAGCCCCAGGTCAGTAGCAGGAGTGCAGAAGAGGCCTCTACCTATCCCTCATCCAAAATTTGGGGTGCTGGGATGATGAAGAGACCCCAAGCAGCTGTGCCTTGTTTGGACATTAGTGTAAGGACCCTACCAGTCAGCCTTTATTTGTTTCAAAACAGAATTTGGAGCATCTTAGTAGCTCAGAATGATATTTTTAAAGATAACCCACTGGACTAAAATTGACCTGTGTTGGCTTTATTATGTTTCTCCTCCCCCAGGAGTAAGATGGAGAAGAGTTTTTTGGAGCTACTCGAGTTTAAAATTCATGTGTCTGCCAGTGTTTATGTGAAATATTACTTTGACCTGTGTGCCTTGCCATACGACCATGAACTGGATTTTCAGTTTAGTATTCTTCACAAACATATAGCGCAGAAATTGAAGGTAAGGCTGTGAAGTCACTTAGTGAAGTTTCCCATTGGCCACAAAAGCCAACATCTGTGACAAAATCATATTAAGTAGTGATTAGGAAAATGAAAGCCTTAAAATTAACAGACCAAAGTGCTTATTTCTTTGGCATCATATTTCTTGTCTTTTATGCTTTATACAAGAATCCTTATTATTATTATTATTTTATGAGAAGGAGTTTCACTCTTGTTGCCCAGGCTGGAGTGCAATGGTGCGATCTCAGCTCATTGCAACCTCCGCATCCTGGGCCCAAGCGATTCTTCTACCTTTGCCTCCCAAGTAGCTGGGATTATGTGCATGCACCACCATGCCCAGATATTTTGTATCCTTATTAGAGACAGGATTTCTCCATGTTGGTCAGGCTGGTCTCGAACTCCTGACCTCAGGTGATCTGCCCGCCTTGGCCTCCCAAAGTGCTGGGATTACAGAGATGAACCACTGCACCAGCCAAGGATCTATATTTTAAAAAATTATTGATATTCTCACTGCTTTGACCATAATTCAGAACATTTTTAATTAAATTTAATCTGTTCTTTTGGGTTTTGTTTTTAATCTCTACTTGTTCACATAACATTCATGAATAAATGCAGTTGTATTCCTAATTATATCTAAATAGACAATGCACTTACTGCTCTTGACTGCCTTTTACTTAAGCAGTTTGCAATTTTGTGTCCTTGTCTATTCTATATATCTCAGTGCAGTCCCAGGAGTTTGTTAGACAAAGCAGTAGTGGCTGAGAGACTTGTGCTTACACTGTATAAGGTGCCAGTAGTTCAAGTACTAGGTGTAGGAAGGACATGGGTTTTTAGTGAAAATGGCTTCATGGGACAACGTAAGATTTATGGTTTATGACTGTTGGTGAGTATACAGGAAAGTTCCAACTGAAATAGACACGTTTAAAATTGGCACTGTCTCTGGTGTTTTGGTGGTACTTTGGAATAATACATTTATTTACCACAATGTGCAAGTAAAGTAGCTTCAATCATTAGGCTTCTTGGGTGTTCCAAAACAGCCCAGCATGTGCCTGTCTCGTTAAAATCTGCTTGGAGTGTGTAGTAACTACTAAGGATTGGGTAGAATTTGAACCGCTGAATAAGCTGATTGTTTGGCACAAGTGTATGTTGAGTATGTTGAAGGAACAAGTGCACAGGTAACAGATAATATTGTCACAAGCTTGTCACAATACTCTTAGGAGCCCTATTTTATTTTTTATGTGACAGTATCACCAAGCAATGAGCCCAATTTTAAAATTATAAAGTAAGTTCCTCTTGGCTCTGGCAGTCTTTTCATAGCTCTTAAAGGAGACGACCTTAGTGAATGGGCAGGGAGTTGCATCCTCAGAACCTGGCCGAGTGTAAACCTCAGCCAAAGCAGCTGCAGGGTAACCCTCTAAAGGAACCTGTATGTGTGGTTTCTCATCAATGATGCCTTTTAAAAAATGTTGGAGCCTTTTTAAAAATTGTACTCGTTTTCTCTTTGATTGACTTTCCTAGGCTATGTCACGGCTGTGTGAATACAAAGACCTGCATCAAGATGCCGCAGCTATGACAAGGGCCGTCAGCATGGATTTCATCGGCATTAGGCATACTAATGCCATCTTATCTTAAAGAGAGAAATTAGCATTATAAAGTCCTGGACTTGTCAACTATAGGGACTACAAAATATCACTTCTCCTGCTGAAAAAGACCAGAAAAATTAGGATTTTCTTTTTTTATCTTTTTTAAAAAAATTTTTATTGTTGTTGTTGTTGCTGTTGTTGTTGTTGATTAGGATTTTTATAGAGTGGAGACTTCTTCAAATAACCACACTGTGAAGCTGGGTGATGGTGGCATGAACAGTGGGTGCCAGGTGCTACCTGCCCTTCTTGTTCCACTGAGTCCAGATGGCATTCCTAGGGCACCACCTTCTTGAACAACTCTTGGGGAGGAAGAGTGTCATATGGGCACAGCACATCCCAGTTCAGAGTCCACAGTCACCCACAGTCCCAAGCAGGTGACAGTCTGAGCTGAGCTGGAATTCAAACAACTTTGGAATTGGCTCCAGATTTGTGAGAGTACCTGGGTTTGGATCTCTGTCCACTGAGGCACTGAATGCATGATGGCCCAAAACAACAAGTGTGGGAAGAGAGAATGGCATGGGGACAAGGCTGTCATTGCTTCAAGTACCATGGGGGCTCAGGCCTGTTCATCAAGTCTTTGGAGAGAGTCTGCATGTGAAATGAGGCACCCACATCATGGTTATAAAGGGAGAGATGAAATCGGTTCATCTTCCCCCAGGCCTATAATGGTCATGTCAAAACACAGAGTCTTGCTGTGTTGCCAGGCTGGAGTGCAGTGGCAGGATCTCGGCTCTCTGCAACCTCTGCCTCTGGGGTTCAAGTGACTCTCCTGCCTCAGCCTCCCAAGTAGCTGGGACTACAGGCATGAACCACCAACCCAGCTAATTTATATATTCTTAGTAGAGACAGGGTTTCATCACAGTGGCCAGGACAGTCTTGATCTCTTGACCTCATTCTGCCTGCCTCCGCCTCCATAAGTGCTGGGATTACAGGTGAGAGCCACCGTGCCTGGCCTCTTGCATTTACCATTCACAATAAAGCAGTTTGGAATATCCCACTGTTGATTTATTATTTCCTCCTCCAAACATAATCTGTGGCCCTGTATACATAATTGAATATTTTTGTGTATTGATATTTTGTGTCTGAAGATGAAATATTAGATGAAACATGTTAAAACATTTCATGCAAAGCCTTCAGTGGTTGTAGAGTCTACTCTTTGGCGAATACACAAATTAATCTATTTTAAATATTAAAATTTTTATTAGATGTGATAATGATATTTTTTCTTTTATCTTCATTTGTTAGATATAGTTACTTACATTCTTCCATAATTAATGATATTGTATCTTATATTTGATGTAAAAAACTCCTAGAATATTTGGAATTGATCGTTGAAATCAAACTGCAAAATGAGATTTGCTAAAACCTAGTGATAATGTACTCATAATGGGTTTATTATCTATTATCTCTATCACTGTTAATTTTTAAAGTTTCCATGGAAAACTATACTAAGAACTTAAAATTTTCTATAAAACCCTTCATGCTCTGCACTTTAGCTCCAATGCATAATGAATAAAGGAAAATAAATTCTCCTGTGGGAATTCTGCTGGATTCTTCCTTTCTTTTCCCTTTAACCTGGGGGGGAGCATCTTGAGGTCACCATGGGGTGAGGTGACCATGAGTGGGGTCCCTAGAGCTGCCACTGACGGGAGTGTGTATGTGGAGATGGGTTTTGTGGCCACGTTTCTTCCTCGGGTCTTTCTGGTTGTGATGGGGGCTTTGAGGATGGTTTCTGAGGATCCCCTCCAGGGGAGTCCTCTGCCTGTGGTGTCTCCCTTGGGGGAAGGCCCAAGAATATCTGGAGAGGGATTCATAGGGTCGCCCCTGTGTGACAAAGGTGCCTTGTGCGTTTTAGGGGCGGTGGAGCCTCATCTCCCCTGTAGGGTGAGCAGGATGTCTGAGGGAGTGCTGAAAAGAAGCCCTGTGTGTTGGGGTCGCTGTGCAGTCTCAGTACAGCCCTAGACCTGGGGAAGTCATGATGGAGACTCAGAGGTGTTTGGGGCAGGGAAGGGGGCAGCCTAGGCAGTCACCAAGGTGTGACAGCATCGCTGATGCCAGGAGGCAGTTTTGGGAGGGGTCTTTGGAGGGGAATAATTGTGAAGTCCCCAAGGCTGGAGAAAGTGTGAGGGTGCTCCAAGGCTGGAGGTCAATGTGGGGTGGGTAGGAATAACCCAGGGGAGCTCTCACAGGAATAATGAGCCCCCCAGGGGTCAGGGGTGGAAGGAAGGGGCCTCAGCAGGTCCTGTCTTGCAGGGCCTTTCTGTAGGGCATCTGAGAGATGATCCCTGGGGCTCCTGAGGTCACCAGTACCCCAGGTCGGGTGTTTTCCAGGGTCAGACCTTTTTGGGTCCTGGAGCAAGGAAATGAAACTGGCTTCTTCCTCCCCTCTGCCTGGTTGGCGCTGGACAAACTCCCTTTGGGGAGTCCTGGGGCTCCTAGGCGGGGAAGCACCTTGAGCCCTGGGGAACAGACGGGCCACCCCTTGAAAGCCAGCAACAGGAACAGGTGGAGCTATGCACCTCTGCATCCTTTTATTGTGGAATTGAAACTGGGTTTTCTTGGCGATGTGCAAGTCTGAGTGTGGGTCCGGGGTTTCCCCTGCTCCTTCTCTGCCAGACGCGGTGTTCATTGAAATCTGACCCCCTAAGCTGGCGCTGAGGGGACCGCGGCCTGGTGCAAGGTGACATCTAGGCTCCAGGGACTGTCAGGGGCCATCTGCACCCTGTGAGCACCAAGTCCACCCACCCCATAGCTCCTGTGCTGCAAGGAGGGCACCTGGCACCAAATGCAGACCCACAGCCTGAGATTTTGAGATTCTTTTTATTTCTGACACAGAGACTTGTTCCGGAACCAGCCACGCCAGGTAGGGATACAAACAGAAGTAATGAGGAGGGCTGGGAAAAAAGAAAAGAAAAGAAAAAGCAAATTATTGAATGTGGTAGTCATGAAATATGGGGTTTGTATTGGATTTCATTGTTACTTTGGGTTTAGAATGAGTGACTGAATGTAGTTTTAGGGCTGGGATAGGCAACTGTAAAGCTCCAGGCAACTGGGATCAGTAGGGTCTTGCTGACCTCCCTGTGCGATGGCTCTTTTGAGCTGTACTTGATAAGGGATATGCCCAACCCTGTGAGTACAGCATCACATTCCTAACACTCTGTGAGTCACAGCAGTCTTCTACAAATTAAAATCATTTCCTTTGCTTTTCTGACCTGGTTAAATGAATCAGATGGTTCCTGCCCATTAATACCCCTAGGTCAGTAACCAAACACGTGCCTGTTAGCTTGCTGCCTCCCTTTTCTTTATTATGCTTTGAACTGGACAAGAAATATATTTCATTTTTACAATGTGTGACTTGGGTTTCTGAAAGTTAAAAGTACCTTAGTGTATGTTGATATGTTTATTTTTAAAATGCTTTACTGGGGTCTACTTTGCATTCACTCTCCTTTGCCATGTCAGATCTAGACAACAATTTTATGTCTCTATACATGAGCCTATTATCAAATGTCTAATACCCAGGATCATGAATTATGTGGTCTTTTGGGTCTGGTTCTTTCACTCAGCCTAATGATGTTGGGTTTCATTTCTGTGGTAGCGTGTATCATTACATCATTCCTCTTGGATGGCAAGTAGTGTTCTATTGCATGGACAAGACCACACGTTGTGAGCATTCATGTAAGAGTCTTTATGATTATAGGAATTTTATTTCTTTTGCATACTAACTTTGGGTTAGAGTTTCTGTGTCCTCTATTGATTTTATGTGCAACATTTTGAGGAATAGCCCCATTTTTGTTTTGTTTAGTTTTGTTTTGTTTTCAAGGTGGCTACAATATTTTACACTCCCATTTGCAGCATATGTGAGTTCCATATTCCTCACTTCTTTTCTAACATTTGTCATTGTACCTTTGCTATAGCCATTTAAGTGGGTGTTAGTTAATTAGTATTACTTGTTGTTTGACTTGTATTTTTTTTTACCAACGAATGAAACTGAGCCAATTGGCAAATTGTGTATCTTCTAAGGAAAATGCCTATTCAGTGATCATAGAACCTCTCTCCTCCCTCTAAATATCTGCCATTCAAAATCCCATGAAACACATGGGGGGGGGCAGTGTTCAAGTTGGGGACACTGGGAAGTCCTCAGGCCACCCCTGCATGAGGGCTGCCCCAGGAGAGCAGGGTGAGCTTGTGAAGGCCCTGAAGCTCTGACAGCCCTGCCCACCTGAGACAGGGGCCCACTCAGAGGAGGTGGTCTTTCCAGCCCCCCCAATGCCTGGGTGTCCTCTAGAGACATTTGGGAGAAGGTTCTTTGCCAACAAGGATCCCTGCTAGCCAGCAGGCAGATGTGTGTGTGTGTGTGTGTGTACCAGAATTCTAGTGTTCATAGTGGAATTTGAAAATGAAAGTGTAAAGCTGAAAATTTAATCACACAGGATAACACACCTGCAAAATTAAACCACTGCATAATAACACTCTGCTCTGTGCTAGGTGGGTTGTTCCAGAATGCAGGGCCCTGGGAACCTGCCTCCCGACAGAGCCCTATACGGTGTGTGAGGCCTCATATGTGTGAACCAGGGCAGAAATTTGCTCAAGAGCACGGACCCGGACCCATCAGATGCCTCCAACAGGGCTGAGGGTAGCCCCTTGTCCTTCCTGAGCATTTTCACTGGGGCTGACCTGGGAGGTGCATGAGGCACTGGGGCTGGGAATTGTGCAGAAGTGCAGAGAGCATGGGAGCCAGGAACTGGTGAGGGGGGCGAGAAATAGGCCTTCCCACTGGAGGAGTCTGGGGAGGCACCCAGACCAGGACCACATTTGGGAAGAGAGACATCTGGCCCTGGATGTCCTTTTCTTGTGAAGACCAGCAGCTATGGGGCCTTCAGAAGGGCTTGAAGATGAACCCCCTCAGTTAGCACGCCACCTGAGCACATCCTTCCAGGGAGCCAGGAGCAGCTATGGTGTCCCCTGAAGTCCCAGATCTATGAGTGGAAGGTGGGACTCCCTGGAGGAGCAAGGAAGAGGCTCTTCAGTGGGGCGGAGGGCCACACTCTAGGAGGTGTGGTGCCTTCATGCTTGACCATTCCTGCATCCCTTGCAGTGCCTGAAAGTGCTCACCATAAGCAGCCAGAACCTACCTTCTGGGGACCACAAGAGGCATGGGGACCTCACATGCTTCTTTGTGATCATGGCTGAGGACTGGCAAGGCTGAATCATCAAACACACACCTGAATCAGTGGGTCCCTGCCAGCCTGCCATGACCCTCTGACATGCTATTGGTTCTGGGTCTGTGGGAAGACACTCAGCCACCCACTCAGTGACCACCGCTCTTTGTAGATGCATGACCTCTTATCACAACCCCAAATCTACCAGCAACTCTTCTGAAGCCCTTCCCTAGCAGAGCTGCTCAACTGGATCAGCTGGACCTTCAGAATCCACTTTGCAGGAATGCAGAAGAAAAGGTGGTGCGTGTGCCTCTTCTGCCCCGCCTGTTTCATGCACGCAGGGGAAGGGGATGAACCAGCCAACCTTAACTCCAGCTGATGATCTGTCACCATCTCTCATCACCCCCAGATGGGACTGTCTAGTTGCAAGAAAACAAGCTCAGGGCTCCCTCCCGCTGATTCTACATATGGCGACTTGCATAATTATTTCATTATATATTACAGTGTAATAATAATAGAAATAAAATGCACAATAAATATAATGCGCTTGAATCATCCCGAAACCATCCCACTGCCTCTTACCCCCAACCTCTCCTCTGTGGAAAAATTGTCTTCCATGAAACCAGTCCTTTGTGCCAAAAAGAGTGGGGACTGCTGGCATAATGCATTTGAGATTCATTTATGTTATTTTTAGGTTTTTTTAGACAGTGTCTCACTCTGTCACCAGGCTGGAGTGCAGTGGTGCGATCTCAGCTCACTGCAATCTCTGCCTCCAGAATTTCAAGCAATTCTCCTGCCTCAGCCTCCTGAGTATCTGGGACTACAGGCACTCACCACCACACCTGGCTAATTTTTGTATTTTTAGTAGAGATGGAGTTTCACCATGTTGGCAAGGTGATCTCAAACTTCTGACCTCAATTGAACCACCTGCCTTGGCCTCCCAAAGTGCTGGGATTACAGGTGTGAGCCACCGTGCCTGGCTTCATTTATGTTATTGTTTGTATCAGTTCTTTTTAAAATTGCTGGGCAGTATATCATTGTATGGCTGTCCGACAGTTTGTTTATCCATTTCCCAGTTGAAGAACATTTGAGGTGGTTCCAGTTTTTTGGCAAAGATGATGGAAACTGCTGTAAATATTTGCATACAGGTTTTTGTGTGAACATACGTTTTTGTTTCACTTGGGTAAAATGAATACGTGGGATTGTTATGTCTGAAGGTGCATGTTTGACTTTATAAGAAATGGCCCTACTATTTTTCCAAGTGTCAGCATCATTTTGCATTCCCACCAGCAATGCAGGAGAATTCTGGTTGCTGCGCATTCTCACCAACTCTTGGTATTATTAGTTTTCTTTTTCTTCCTGTCTTAGGTCATATACTGTGATGTCCTTCAGGTTCAACAGTGTGGCTCCAAATGATGAAATTTCATTCTGGTTTTCTAGCTGAAGACGATTCCATTTGTGCACATATACCAGGTATCCCATTGAATACAGTTGGATAAGTAGAGGATGACACTAAATATATGAGCACAGGAAAATGCACAGATTGCTAAAGAGGCACAGGATTGGCCAGATCATGAAATGCTTTCAATGCTGTGATTACATGCTTCCTGTGATGCACTGGCCCAAGTCAGGAGGAGAAACAAACTCCTCCACTACATTTCCTTAACAGCTGTTTCAAGATTAGACTCTTAGCCAGGCGCAGTGGCTCATGCCTGTAAACCTAGCACTTTGGGAGGCCAAGGTGGGTGGATCACCTGAGGTCAGGAGCTCAAGACCAGCCTGGCCATTATGGTGACACTCCATATTTTTTTTAAAAAAAAGATTAGACTCTTAATAAAACTTTACACAGATTATTGGGTCACAGAAGTAAACAGAGAGGAACAATAAATCTAGAATTTGTACTGTCTAAAATGGTAGCCATTAGACATGTGAGGCTATTTAAATCCAAATTTGGTGGGGTGCTGTGGCTCATGCCTGTAATCCTGGCACTTTGGGAGGTTGAAGTCGGTGGATCACCTGAGGTCAGGAGTTCGAGACTAGCCTGGCCAATATGACAAAACCCCATCTCTACTAAAAAAATAAATTAAAAAAATTAGCCAAGCATGGTGGTGTATGCCTGTAATCCCAGCTACTCAGTAGGATGATAGAGGCCAGTGGAGGGGACCTTGTGGACTAGGGCAGCAAGAAATGCTTCATAGGAGAGAAGGAGCACATAGCAGTGACAATGGGAAAATTTGGTAGCCAGAGAGAACAGGGAAAGCCTTCAGGTAAAGAGAGTGATTTAAGCAAAATCGTGTAAGCAGAAACATGCAGGAAGAGGGAGGAGGCTGCTACTGATCCCATCTATTTTCCCTGTCTGACTTGATTGTAGCCATTTCAGACAGTTTTCTGAATACATTATGCATTTTCACATCTCCAGGCATTTGCCGAGACCCCTTCTTCTGCCTATAACTCCCTTTCCACCTTCTTCCCTTGTATTTCAAGACCCAGCCCAAGACTCATCCCCTACAGTTCCCAGTCTCAGAAAGGTGAATCCCAAGCCCATGTTTTCATGGCTCATAAATGGAATCTGAGATGTCAATAGACTTGTTCTTTCTATTTTCCCACTTTTAGTAAAGAAAGGAGAGAAACTCTTTGCTAGGTCAATAGTCAACCTCAAATTTATCCTTTTGCTCTAATTCTCATTTCCAAATGGCAGGCTTTCTTACAGTGGGGCACACCCACCAGCCTGGCCAGGCTGGCAGCCCAATTCTGTAGGAGCCCTTGGCTGTGAATTTCTATGGCAGCTGGAACTGTAAGGAGCTTCCCAAGGCTCCCCAAGAGAACTGGAGAGCCCCAGGCTCTTCCCACAGCATTCTTGATCATGTTCTCATTTCCTCCTCCAGAAACATGCAGCTAAAATAAGCCCAGAAGCTGAGGAAGGGCTGAGTCGGACCCTCAGAGTGGAGCAATCACTGCGTGGCTGCTCCTTGTAAGAAACATCCCGAGGCCTCCCTGAGACGGTGCGCGCTGGACCGAGGGCCCCAGCCAGGGAGGCGTGGCCACTGAGCTCATGGCCAGACTGCCCCTCGGTAGCGTCCACATCGGGAGTGGCAGTGCTCGCCAGAGCTATGGGTGCACCTGAGGGGCAGGTTCGCCTCCCGCCAGCCCTGGCAGCTCCGCTCAGGTCGAGCCCAGACCCTGCCGCTGAGCCACAGCTGAGCTGCATAGCCCTCAGAGCCCAATTATATACAGCCCTGCTCTGGGATACACCTCCATTGAATTTAAGAGACAGTCCTCGGCTGGGCATAGTGGATCACGTCTGTAATCCAAGCACTTTGGAGGCCAAGGCGGGCAGATCACCTGAGGTCGGGAGTTCAAGACCAGCCTGACCAACATGGTGAAACCCTGTCTTAAAAAAACAACAACAACAGCAAAAGAGACAGTCCTCATCAGCACTGACTTTCAGCTACGGAATCGCAGACAGTTGATGATTAAGCACCAGCCGTGTAAATGAATATCAGGTGAGGAGCAGGATGATGCCCAAGGGTGGGTGCCCCAAAGTGCCACAGCAGGAAGGCCTTTCCCTCTACAGCGACATGCTGGAGAAGTGGACTGGTAAAAAGGATAAAGTTTCTCTAACCAAGACCCCAAAGCTGGAGAGTGGTGATGGCAGGAAGGAGGTGAGGGAGCGAGCCAGCAAGCGGAACCTGCCCTTTACTGTGGGTGCCAATGGGGAGCAGAAGGACTCAGACACAGGACCGCTGGGGTCCTGCTTGTCCTGGGGCAGCCACGAGGAGCCCTCGTCAGGAGCACCTTGGGCTGAAGCTGCCTGCCCCTCTACACGTGGATGTTTCTTTGGAACAAGGGGAACAGTTATGATTTTCTTACTTTGCTTTGGCCTGTGAATAACCCCCTTTTCTCTGGTGCCTGTGTATGTGCTCTGCAGTGCTGATGGGAACATTCCCGTCCTTCAGTGTTAGGTGGGTGGCATATTCAGTCTTTCCCAACATCATGTTTACTCTTGGTGCTTCAGAGATGGCTGCTCTGATGTTTCCTGCTCCCACATTCCTGGAGGAAAGTGGCAGCCTTAGCCATTGTTGTCTGGGGACTTCTCAGAACTGTGAATGCCAGACCTTGCCCAGTGCTAGAGGCGACAAGTGTGTGAAGTTGAGAGGCTTCTCCCACACGCTCAGCTGCAGTGGACCTGGGTGGGGAGAGACAGCGAGTGCACCAGGCCCCAGGCTGTGCATGCAGGCAGGGCAGGGGCCTGGAGAGCATGGCGCCCCTGGGGACCTCTGGCCAGGAATGGCATGTGCACTGCAGTGTGCCAGGGACCAGTGGTCTCAGCTCATGTCTTGCCAGAGGTCCAAGGCACTCACCTGTGTGGGGATGTTAGCAAACACAGCGGGAAGCCCTCATGCACTGTCTCCCCCAGGACATAGCAGGGCCAGCAGGGAATAGCAGATCCCACACACAGCACTGCCAGCAGGGAATGGCCAGCCTGAGGCCAGGTCCCTCCCCTTCAGTGTTCCTCTCCAGCAGGCTGGAGCCTCAGTGACTACCACATCATCTTCTTCCCCAGAATCCCCAGCATACTCTTCCTCCCCTCCTGGCTGCATGGGGGGGCCTGGCTGCTGACCCTCTGCCACCTCCTGAGTCTCAAGAAAGCAGGGCCAGCCTCTGAATACAGAGGACTTCATCCTGCCAGAGGATGATTGACCAGTGGGTGCTGGCATGCCAGCAGCCTGCAGACAGGCAGAGTGGGGCTGCAGTGAAGGCCATGGTGGTCAAGATGAGGGTGGTAACCAGGTCTCATTGACACAGTGAGGATTCTGGGGTTACCCTAAGAGCCACATTCAGGCACTCATGAAAAAGCACATCAAAATAAAATATTTTCAGATGATTAAAAAAAAATCCCGTTGCACCTGAGTTGTTTATTGCCAAGAGCTGTAAGTGAAAAATGAGCTCTCCTAAGGCAGGCTGGGAGGAGGCTCCTTTTCCTGGAGATGGCACGATGCTTAACAGGAAATGTTCTGTGCCAGTATAAAAGGAGTGGCATACATCCCTCAGAGCAGAAAGGCCTGGTGACAAAGGGGAAGGAGACTGGGCTGGAAGCCAAGCAACACGAGGGTTAGTTCAACTTCATTGCTTACCAGGGATGTCAAATGAATGATACTCTTACCTGCTCAGAGTCTCCCTTTTCTCAGTTGCAAGATGAAAATGTAAGCTCAGATGTTGTTTGAGTTTTATTCTGGCCTGGGCTTTCTTTTGGTTTGTCCAAGCAGCAATCCAAATGCCAAGTCTCCAGCTTCACTCTCAGGCCCTGAATGATGTGAGCTTTTAATGGTGGAGAAAGGAATTTCAGCGTGGCCTATGGGAGCCATTGCTTCATTGAATCAGGTTCAATCAGCCCCCACTGATCAGACACCTCTGCTGGCCAGGATCTGGGAAATGGCTGGGGATATAGAGGGGAAAAAGACAGGGTTGCTTCAGTAACTCACCTTCCAGCAGGTAAGAGTATCAGCAGAAAATGTGGATAAAACAAAAAGATGACCAACGATGCAAACTTTGCTAAGCCCTAAATGAATGATCTGGGCAGGTAGCTGAGAATGAGGAACTGTTCACAAGAGTCCAGGTGAGAGTGGATTCAGCTGCAAATTCAATTCTGTTACCATTTGGTTGGTACAAAATAATTGCAGTTTTTGCCATTACTTTTCTTTTCTTTTTTATTTTTTTAAATATTTTTTTGAGATACAGTCTTGCTCTGTCACCCAGGATGGAGTGCAGTGGTGCAATCTTGGCTCATTGCAACCTCTGCCTCCCAGAGTCAAGTGATTCTCCTGCCTCAGTCTCCCAAGTAGCTGAGATTACAGCCACCCACTACCACACCCAGCTGATTTTTATATTTTTTGGTAGAGATGGGGTTTCACCATGTTGGCCAGGCTGGTCTCAAACTCCTTACCTCAGGTGATCCACCCACCTCAGCCTCCCAAAGGGCTGGGATTACAGGTGTGAGGCATCACTCCTGGCAGCGCCATTACTTTTAAATAGCAAAAACCACAATTACATTTGCACCAACCAAATATATTTTTTCCATCTCAATAAAGTTTTATTGAGAAAGACGTCAGTAAGAAATGACTAGAGAGGTCAAAATTTACTTTCTTCAGATGATCTAACATTTTAATGTCCATGTAGTTTTCCCCAGACAGCAAGAATAATTCAGGGTTTTCATCCCAAAGTTTCCACACACTTGAGAAAAAATCAATTCACACACAGCGATGGGGGACTCTGAACTGAAAAAACTTCCACTGCAAAAGAGAAAGAGACTAAATCATTACTGAAGAGTTCAGGTTGTATTTCAATGATACTCTCTCTCTCTCTCTCAGATTCACCACAGTCGGCACTTCCAAAATGTCTTCCAAACATTTTGTAAAAAACTTATTGATGACATTTGCATTTTAAGCCACAATTAAAGTAAATGTTAAGATTTAATGACATATTTTAATATTTCCAAATATCACACTGGGTACAATGCTTATGCCTTTAATCCCAGCACTTTGGGAGGCCAAGGTGGGTGGATCACAAGGTCAAGAGATCGAGACCATCCTGGTCAACATGGTGAAACCCCATCTCTACTAAAAATACAAAATATTAGCTGGGCATGGTGGCGCAGGCCTGTAATCCCAGTTACTCAGGAGGCTGAGGTGGGAGAATTGCCTGAACCCAGGAGGTGGATGTTGCAGTGAGCCAAGATCACATCATTGCACTCCAGCCTGGGTAACAAGAGCGAAACTCCTCCTCCTCAAAAAAAATTGTTTAGTCAGGTGCAGTGGCTCACACCTGTAATTCCAACATTTTAGGAGACTGAAACAAAAGGATCACTTGAGGCTGGGAGTTTCAGACGAGCCTGAGCAACAAAACAATACCCTGTCTCTACAAAAAAAAAAAAAAATATTTTTAATTAGCTGGGCACAGTAGCATATACCAGTAGACCTAGCTACTAGGGAGGCTGAGGAGAAAGGATCACTTGAGCCCAGGAGGTCGAGGTTGCAGTGAGTTATGATTGTGCCACTGTACCCCAGAACGAGACCCTCTCTCTAAAATAAATGAATATTTTTTAAAAGGCTTTATTTAGTTTTATGATTTTCTCATGGAATTTTTTTTGTTTACCATGAACTTTTTCTTTCAAAACTTGAAAATGAATTAAAATAAGCAAAATTCAAGACATCATGCATACAGAAAAGGAATAAAACAAACAGAAGACTGAATAAAATGAACTACATTATATATTTATAAAGCAAACAGTATATAGCCACCAATCAGGTTCTATGGTTCCATAGATTCCCTCTATTTTCATCTAAATTTATCTGAATTACATGTATGCCATTTGTAACCATAACTGTAATGTAGCACAGAAGGCACCTAGGGTGCTTCCTGCTATACACTCACTACTCAGTAGGCAGTCATCCTAATTGTGAATCACTGATTCATTCAACAAACATCCACTGAGCTTGTATCATGTGCCAGCTTTGTATTAAGCACTGGAGAAAGAAAAATTACTAGACCAAGTGTCCCATTTCAGCACCACGAGGGAGACAGACACATGTAACTGAAAGTGATTATAGCTCAAGTTGGTGGAGAGCTCTGCCTGGTGACCCCAGGGCATACAGGAAGCAGTCATTCTTCTGCAAAGGGAGAAGGAGTTTGTCAATGAGCACAAGTAATGACACACAAGTAGTTGTCACATGAGTAATGACATGAGCAAAGGCACAGAGTCCTGGAAGAGCAGGCTCATCTCTGTGCACAGTGGGGCAGGCAGGATGGGGGATTGGGAGATGGATCAGGGGAAGAGCTGGACTTTTCTTTGGGAACAGAGGAACTAGGAGAATCATGTAAACATATCAAATCCATGGCAAAGATTTTTCTCACAGTGGGGTGGAAGTTTTGGGCTTATGTAGAAATACCTCCACATAGTAATAATGATAATTACTATTATTATTAGCAATTATACTACTGCTGCTGACCCTCCTGAGCATTGTACATGTCTTATGTAATTTATCACCACAAAAATCCCCTGACGTGTCTACTATTATTACTGAGAGGTAGTAGAATTTAATATTATGAATACATGCTCTGAAGCTAGGTTATTTGTATTAAGGTCCTGGCTCCACATTTAGGCAAGTAGCTTAACCTCTCCATGACCCAGTTTTTTTATCTTTATAATGAGATAATGAAAGTGCCAAGCTGATGGGGTTGTTGAAAGGATTTAAGAAAATTCTACCTGTGAACTGTTTAAAATAACATCTGTCCAATACATTGTGTTTAACAAAGGTTGCCTCTTATTGACCCATTTTACCAAGAAGAAAACAGGCTTGGGGAGATGAGGTCACATTTCCGAGGTCATGTTTCCAAGGTCATGTGGCCAGTAAGTTGAAGGTTTTGGATTCAAACCCAGGAAGTCTCAACGCAGAGCCCCATCTCTTCACCATCTAACAAGCCAGCTTTGGTTGCTAAAGTTGGGATTTTCTCTGGCAAACTTTTGACATGCCTAACTCTGTTTCAAAGAATTCCTTTTTTAAAATTAAAAAAGAAATGTTGGCCAGGGGTGGTGGCTCACACCTGTATCCCAGCACTTTGGGAGGCTGAGGTGAGTGGATCAGCTGAGGTCAGCAATTCAAGACCAGTCTGGCTAACATGGTGAAACCCCATTTCTACTAAAAATACAAAAAATTAGCCAGGTGTGGAGGTGTGTTCCTGTACCACCTGTAACCCCAGATGCTTGGGAGGCTGAGGCAGAAGAATTGCTTGAACCTGGCAGACAGAGGTTTTAGTGAGCTGATATCACACCATTGCACTCTAGCTTGGGCAACAAGAGTGAAACTTTGTTTCAAAAAAAAAAAAAGAA